TGGGGTATATCCCAGCCCCGTTTCCTCGCTGTGGATTGCAATAGCTCTTGAATGTAAAGCACCTTGAAGGAATAAGCAAACGGACTTTGCCATACCAGTGAAATGAATGTGAAATCCCTGCTCGGGAGAGGAGATGCTCCTGGTAGTGGTAGGGGACCAACTCCTCCGGGCAGCACAGGAGGAGGGAGCACACGCCGCCGCACTCGCGGCACGGCCCTTCCCGCTGTCCTGGCTGCTCTCTCCATCTCTGGGTTTTATTTTTTATTTTTAATTATTGTTTTTATTTTATTTTTTTATTACCCAAACACGAGGCGTGGGATAAAGAAGGGGCAACGCAGACTCGGCTGGCCAGGAGTGAGCCAGGTCGCTGGCAGCAGCGTTGGGCTCCCAGCTGGAGCCGAGGAGAGGGTGAAGGCAGAGCCTTTGCTTTATTCCTTCTCCCACGGGTGCAGCGAGCCCATAGGACATGAGGTGACCTCAGGAGCTTGGCTGAGAAAGATCCGGCTGTGGCCAAGGGTGGGATTTAGCACAGGATTTTCCCATGGAGGAGGCTGCTTCAAGGGAAGAGAGCTCTGCAGGTCTCCATGCCCTCCATCACAGCATTCTCCCAAATGCCCGTTCAGCTGGTGTTTGGAACTGATCCAGCACATCCACCTGCCTCCTGCCACCTTCCCACATCCCAAGTGCTTTCTGAGAAGGGGCTTTACCCTTGGGACTGTGGTCAAACCCCAGCTCCTGGCTGCTGCACCCAGGAGGCAGCTGCAGGCAGTATTGCAAGCACCGGGGCTCAGTGCCTGAGTGCGCGTCATCTCAGGCAGGGGCTCTTTTGGTGCTGGCTGTTGTGTGTAGTTCTCTTATCGAGACACATAGCTCAGCACCCAGAGGAGGTTCTGTGGCCTTTCCTCTGCCCAGCCCACAGCCAGGTCCCCAATTCCCACACTGGGACCATTGGAAGCATGGCCATGGCTGCTGTTGCAGGTTGAATTGGACCCAGGCTTTCGCTCCAAGGAGCTCTATTATGTTGGGGTTTGTTCCCTCTTTAGGACCTGGGAGCTTCTTAGGGGGAGAAACTGCCCATTGGGGTCAAGTGGAAGTGAAAGGTCCTTATTCCTTCCCTGGTGTGGTCAGGACCTGCTGCTCTGAGCTTGGGAGGCTCAAAAGGTAAAGAAGGGATGGATTCGTGAGGTGATGCTGCGATAGCCCACAGCTGGCAGGGACACTTGATGGACTCCATGGCCAGGCTCTGCAGATGGTTTTTCTGTCCCTGTTCCTGCTCCTCCTGCAGCAAATGCCAAAAGCTACAGGGCAAAAACCTGCTCCGAGGCAGCCCATTTCTGCTGACAAAGGGCTAAAATCCCAAGCCCGTCCCTGCTTCGTGTTAATTCCTCATGCATCCAGCCCTGTTCTCTGGCAGCTCGGATCATCCAAGTGTGAGACGAAGACCTTCAATTCCATAATTGCATCCCTTAAATGAAACAAGCAGCTTTCTTAGCAATGTAGGGGATATTCATGTTTTCAGTTTAAAGACCTATGGAAAACCATGGACCAAGCTTAACCAGGAAAGACTCACCAGGAAACCGATGGGATTTTTGCTTTCATATAAGGCAGAGAAAATATAGGGACCATGCTATTCCCTGGCAGCTGCCACCTGCTACATACAGCCCTGTGCTTTCTAGTTTTGCTCACTACCATCTGAACTGCTTCTCGGAGCATATTGGAGTTGGTCAGCCTTGGTTCTCCTCCCAAAGGCATTGGAGCCCAGGTCTCTGGTGAAGGCTGCTGATGCTGAGTGCCAATGCGTTGTTCTCCAGCGCCGGGGTGGGGATGCACCGTCCTTGTTTCCTGCCCTCTTGGATCCTAGAAGCTTGGACAGAAGTGAGAAGTCAGCACTGCCTTGTTCATCTAGAGGGTTGTGCCTTTTTTTGAAGCATCATTTCTGACAGCACCATTCACTTCCCAGCTCCTCTCCGCAGGGAAAAGCACTCGAGAAAACAAATGTGCTTTGAGGAGGGGGCTCTCACCCCCTGCTTCTGCAGGATTCCCTTGGAGGAAACAGCCTCAGGTGGTTTGAAATGCTTGGGGGGAAAAAGCACACACCTTTATTTACGTCCTCAGCATTTGTCAGCCAACATGCACCAATGGTCAATGTCACTGTTTTCATTTCATCTGGCAAAGAAATCAAGAAAGCACCTTAAATCGGGAAAAGACGGAGCCCTTGCCACTGGTTCTTCTGGCTTGTGACACAGTATCCATCTCAAGGGAGAGATTTTGGATTCTGAGCAATAAGAGATTCCTGTGGGGAATCTCGGGAAGACTCGAAGCATTAAACGTGTAATTCAACCTGCCAAACTGTGGGAACCTGCACTTTGAAGTTCTCCTTAAAGGAACTGACTTGTCTGTTGCCTGGGACGGGTGGCACACGTTGGAGGGGATGACAGGGACACGCCGACCCCCCAGCACCTCTCGGGCTGCAGCCCCTGCTTTCAGCCACGGTGGCTGTGCCAAGGTCCCTCACGCTCCCCCTGTGCCACCGAGAGCAGTGGCTCAGCAGAGGCAGGCATCGAGCTTGTAGGGACAGAGCAAATGAAAAACCCTGGGTAGGAATGCCTGGAAAAGGGAGATTTCTGCTCTCCCTGCACCGGAGCTGCATGGGGCTGGATGGGAGCCCCCAGACCCCCAGCTCACTTCAGTGCTTGGTCCTTGGTGTCTTGGGGTTGTTGCCATCCCACTGGCCACGAGACCTTTTACGTCCAGTGGCCCTGGGCAGTGGGTCCTGTGAGCGGGGCAGCCTCATTGTGAGGGATTGCTCTTTTCCAGATGAAGATTCTTTTTGTGTTTGTTTGTTTGCTCTGGCAGTTTAGCTGAGTGTGCATTTCCACCTCCAGAACCCTCACACTGTGTATAAAAATGGATAAAATATATATATATATAATATATTCTTGTGAATGTTGGTGCAAAAGAGAAAACTATATAAAGTTTCAGTCGGTTTTATGTTATTTTTTATCTATATGAATGAAAGGAAGGAATGGAAAACACTTTTTTTCCATTCACCACCCTCCACACACACCTACCTGTAGATACCAACAGGTTTTATGGAAATGTTTTACTTTTTAGATTTAGGAAGATGCTTCTGTTCTCATTGAATGTTCTGTCGTGTAAGATTGTAATTTCTATTTTTTTAAAGAAAAGAAAAGAACTAAATAAAATTTCCTCTTTCGGACCAGTCAGCTTGGAAGGGAGGGCAGGGGAGGGAGAAATGTTTATTTAAGGACAAAGGTGTTGTCTGAATTTTTGATGACATTAAATAAAAAGTAATATAATGTATGAACAAAAAAACCCAAACCCTTTTGTTTTGAGGTGTATTCCATAGGTATATAGATGTGTACTGCACAGAATTCACAGGAATTAAAATAAAGTCTGTTTTAGCAGGTAACAAAATGAATAATGTCAGAAACAGTGACTGGAATTCCAAATTCTATCAAAGGGTGAGACTGGTGTGGACTAATGGAAGGTGTCCCTGCCCATGGCAGGGGGTTGGAACTGGTTTAGCTGTAAGGTCCCTTCCAACCCAAACCAGTCTGGGATTCTGTGATTACTGGTTCACTTAAAGCCAGGCACACACTGATGTGAGCATGGGAAGAGGCTGGGTTTTTCTGCCAGGGGCCTGTGTTGGGTTCAGAGCCCTTGCAAGCACTTCCCAACCACTGCGCATCACCCTCCCAGCCAGAGCATTCCAAGGGAGACCCAAGATCCAGGAGAGGCTTCATCTTGGAAACCTGTTAAACCACCACCAAGCTCCTCGCTGTGCTGGAGACACATTTTGGGGCAGGGGGTACATGGAATCAAACAGTTCCCAGTCCTAGGAGGGAAGGAAGGAAGATACATGCCCTGGGTACAACAAGGATGCTAGGACTGGAATGCAAGGACTCCTCTCCATCAGGATTCACACAGTTCAAAGGTATCCATCGGTATTAAGCATGCAAAGCCCATCCTAATTTCCCTCTGCTTCCCCTCAAAACCTCACCTGGGTGCACACTCCCTGTGCAAATCCAGGGCAGTTGGGTCCCTCAACAGCAGCAGTTGAACTGTCAGGAGCTGTTGGGCAGAGCAATGCAGAGGAATCCTTGTACCTGCAGGGACTGTGACTTGCAGGGTCGGTAAATCCTCAGCCTCACCTCACCAGCTCCCCAGCTGCTGCCGGTCTGCCCTTCCCGGGATCAGCACACATCCTCCTCATGGGTCCCACGTGCAGAGTTTATATATTGCGAGATAAAACGTGGCTGCTGCCAAGAGATGGGAACAGCAATGAACATGTTTCTCCGTGTTTATTTATTTTTAATAAAATAAATAAAGCTTGGGAAATCTGTTTAAAAAATCCTTGCGAAGAGCTACTCTTTAAACAAATCATGTTTATGAAAAATTAACTTTCAGTTCCAGTGTTAACACCAGTGGAGAACAGACTCTGCAGGACCCTGGAACACCAAACACCATCAGCAGGAGGTGGCAGGATGGGACCATCCGAGTGTGTCCGTCCCACATGGGGCACAGCGAGGACGGGCCCTGCCAGTACCCTGCCAGTACCGGGGGGACCTGGGTGCCCGTTATCCCCGTCCTCGGGTTTTGCCATCCCACTGTCCATCGCCTTCCCCCAGTAAGCGCGACCTCACCCCTGCTGGTGGCCACACGGCTCCAGTAGCGCGGGATTTACTGGGGCGGAGTGACCTCTGCTGGTTTGTAGCTAGAATATTCCCC